CTTGCGTTTGGTTCTCCCATCTTCGGTCGTTTCGTACCTTTTTTTTTTTTTTTTCTTCGCAAACCCGTTTTTGACTCTGCAACGCCGCGTCCAAAACAATTCCCCAACTTTCGCAACTTTCTGTCAATTACCTCTGCGCAACTTCTCTCTGCGATATTGCATACTTCCCATTTAGCTGTGATCCACCCCGTACCTACGTTATCGGGAATATTTCCAACCTGTTTCGTCAAGAAAAAGACGGGACTTTTACGTAAATCATCACCATCATCACCACCACCACCAAACAACAAACTACCGCTGCTACTACCTACGCGATCTCGTTGTTGATAACTACCGTATCCGTATCCTCTCTCTTGATCAACGCAACATAGTCGGTCAGCCCGCGCAACCATTCAATCACCATGTCTAACTCGCAGGTCGGCAACGTCTATCAGCAGATCATCAACGATGTCCTAGAAGCTTCGCGAGTCGATTTCGAGGAAGGCGGCGTGGACGAGAGTGTCTTGGAAGAACTGAAGCGAGTGAGTAATTGACTTGATTTTTTTTATTGATTTTTTTTTTTTCTTCTTTTTTCTTCTTTTTTCTTTCCTCTGCCGCTCTCTCCCCCTTGAGTCGAGCGATGATGATTATCAATAATTATTAGCGCATTATCATCATCATTATTTTTAAAAGATTTTGGATCGGGGGTTTCCTTTGGATATTAGATGTTTTAGGGTTAATTTCCCGAGGTTTGATGAGTTGTCGACCCTGCTATGATGGCAGCTTACACAGGCAATTTGCTGGTTTCTAGGCGAGGCCGAGGTTGGTGAGAACTGGCGGATTTCGTGAGGGGCGGGCAGGCACTATTTGGGCTTTTTATGCCTCTGCGCCTGCTGCAAATCTCCCAGTGACTCACGTCATTTCTTATTGGCTGAAGCCTGGTCCACTCACGTGCCTCTTACTGTGCGCGTTTATCCTATCAGCTCATCCGTTACATTGGTTACTTTTACACTCATCCCCTTTTCTTTCAAGCCCACCCTGCAGGGAACAATGCTTTCGTTACAACCAAAAATCCTCTCACCAAGTAACAAAAATAAAAGAATTATAGATACTTAACTGACAATATATTATTAGGGATGGCAAAAGAAGCTCTCTCAACAGCAGCTGGCTACGTTTCCCTGGGATCCCAAGCCAGATGCCCCTACTCCCGCTGCCGCTGCGGCCGCGGCTGCTGTGGCACCAGCTCCTGAGCCCATCCCCCAGGTTAACGGCTCTTCATTCATCCAGGAACATGTTCTTCAGCCTCAGCCCCAACCTCAAGGTCTTACCATGCCTATGGCTGGAGGTCAGCCTTCGAATGGTTCTGGGATTAAATCTGAACCAGGCGTCAAGACAGAGCCTGGCCTTGAGAATTCGCCTATGATGACCCAGGCCAACACTCAACAAAGCGGCGCTGGTGTTGTGCAAGAGCGCGTATCTCAACAACTCCAAAATATGTATGGCGACCGCGCTGCAGCGTCGATCAATAAATTAAGAGAGCAATCGTTTCCTCAAAACCAACAGAGACCTGGTAACCAACCTATTCCGCAAAACTACCAAGGTCAATATCAGCAGGGAGCCCCTCAACAACAATACCGACCTGGCATGCCTCCTAATGGACAACAACAGCAGCAGCAGCAACCGCAGCAGCAGCAACAGCAACAACAGCGCATGACCATGCCAAATGGACAGAGACCTGCCCCCTCCCAGATGGATGGTGCAGACGGTACTGAGGACCATGTCGGTGTTCTCCTGCGTCGTACTTCTACCGGTAAAAATGTGGAAATGGGTCGAGTTGAGATCGACAATCTGCTGCATGCTCAGATAGCCGCCAATGCCAGGGCTATGGAAGGGGGTGGCTTGATGCTACCCCTTAAGCGCAAAGGCAAGAATCAGGTCGTCTCGCAACATAGTACACCCTTGCCGGGTGGTATCTCCCAGGTTGACGGCACGGACGATGGAGTTAAAGATGAGGCGTCTGATGACGCAGACGCTATCAACTCCGATCTCGACGATCCCGACGACAATATAGAGGATGACGACGAAGACGAGGATGGCGGCCAGATCATGCTCTGCATGTATGACAAGGTTCAGCGAGTCAAGAACAAGTGGTAAGTTTCTGTGTTATATTGAGCTTTATAAATTCGGTCTTAGCTTGCTCATAACGTACCAGGAAGTGTGTTCTTAAGGATGGCGTTCTCAGCGTGAACGGAAAGGATTACGTATTCCACAAAGCCACCGGCGAGTACGAGTGGTGATGGCGAACCCAGCCTTGCGTCTCCATATCGGCATTGGTTTTGTACAAGAATCGTTTTCGTTTCGTCTTCCGTTTACCGGCGCGTATTTGATTAACCCTAGCCACGTCAATATCCGCCTTTGTGCATTTTGATATTCTTCTCCCGCCTCTAACGAAAAAGCATCCGGGCAATGATTTGCAGATGAAAGATCAAAAGTTGCCTTTTATTTGATATTAATGAGGTACAACTCCGATGAGTTTCCACTAGAAGCAAGTTTTTTTTTTTTTTTTTTTCCGTTTTTTTCGTAGGGAGGAGGCATGGTTTTTTAAGGGAATATTTGCGTTGACTTTTCTTTTTTTTCTCTTGTTTTCCGATACAACGCCATATCCGTTTAGGGATTCTGACCATGAAGTTGATTCCCCCGTATTCGACATTTTGGTCGCCGGGATGGAAGGGGGGCGCGGGATAGACTCCAAAGCTACTACCTACTACTACTACTACCACTACTACTATTGATACCGGTAGATAGTACTCCGAGACAGATGTACTAATAGCAGTAATTTTCGCAATGAAATCTGGTTTATGAGATGAAGCATGGCTTTGGTTTGATACAGTGAAGTATTGTATGGATATCTATCATTAGCCAGGCTGACTGGCGGCTGGGATAGACTTCGGGTGGCCACATTGGTTTCTGGGTTCTACTTTTGAGAAGTTCCGAAGGATCTGTAGAAACGAGGGGAGAAAAGGGGAGAATAGATGTAATATGAGTCAAGGTACACAAGGTTATCCTATCGATCGACATGGGACCACATAGGCGAGCCTGACGGTATCTTCATCAGGTACTACGTTGGCCCTATGTACCTTATCAAGCGGGCAGATAGGTAGCTGAGGACTTGGTTTATGACTCAACTATGGTAGATAGACGGTAAGTATGGGAAGGTATGACTCACGAACCAATGTTGAAGGATGTACATACCACATATATACAGATGTGCGTGGGAGACAACCCCGGCCAGTGGTTGGGGGCGATATTCACATATTCACGTGTATTCACACGGGCCTTATGTATTTAACTGGTTCAATGAGGCTGATTACGGGGGGTCCAGTTACGTGCATATGAAGTGCTTATATATTACCTACAACGTTAATTACATACCTAACTCGTGGTCTTCATGGCCTCGTATATAGAATAGGAAGATAGCATAAGAGGTACCTAGGTACCTGGTAGGTATGGGTTTCTGGATATAGGTCTACAACGAGGTTCCGCATGGGGTGTACAAGGTTCAGACCGGGGATGGAAGTTAAGTACAAATAGAGCATAGAGGCTACCGAGTATATGATCTGTAGGAAGGATTGAGATCCTGTGTAGGTACATACCTACCAACATGGGCATTGACTGTTGGGGGCTGAATGGCATGGTGTCACAGTACCAGCATATTGAGCAGAGTATAGTCGGGCGTAACTAGCCTATAAAGCATCAAAAGGGAAAGCTGTTCGGGAGATCATATGTATTTCTCGTATCTACCCAAAAGGTAGGTACTTGCTCAAAATGTAATTTGATCGATGTTCAGGACCTGCTTAGATGAAACTAAGTGAAATATTCAGGGGATGGATGGTACGGCGTATGCTTTCCTATGGTGGCTGGCGTATTTAAGTAGGTGAAATAATACGATATGGAGAAACAAAATAAGTATTGTCAACATACGAATAAGAATGTGTAATAGGTAAACTTATTATTGTTTTATTAATATAAATACCTGTTACTATTATAACAATATTCACATGAACTCCTCTTTAGCGCACTTTAGTTAAGCACATGAAACATTCTTCAATTTTTAAATATTAAAATAGGTTAACATATATTACTTCAGCGCAGATTCGTTATAACGTCCTACATGCCTAATGAACATAGAAAGGCGTTAGCAAAAGAATTAAGCTTGTTGGTAAATAGCCTCAGTAATAATAGAAGTCATTGAAAGCACCTTTTCAGCATAGGTCTCTTTTCGAGCTTATGAAACTCCATACGTCTTTTCGAGTGCGCCTTCGCGAGAAAAGTTCAACGCAGTGAAAGGGGGCAAAAGGGGTGTCACGTCACACTCTAACTAGGATAGCTTTGAAGCCAAAGCTATATACAAACAGTTCCTTTGTTCTCAAGGAGTCTCAAGTGAGACTCCTGACAAGGGGGGAAGTTTCGAAGTAAAATTCCGCAATTTGAACACCGGTGATGGACTCTGAAGCAATCACCCCATCTACTGTTTCTACACTTGATCGCCAAGTTGGTACACATAGGCTGATTATTATAATATATGACTTATGAGTATCAAGCTGTCTCAAATATATACTTATACCTATAGGCACTCATCGGCGACCAAAGGTAAAGAAGCACACTCAAGTTTGACAAATGAGTTTAGCATTAACAAAGGACTTTAAATAGCAGCGATGGTAGGCTAAACAGGATGCTTTCTTGTGAAGGGTATGGGAAAAAGAATAAGAAGTTACACTACGGCGATATACATAGCAAACGCAAGGCCGCAGCATCATTTGACTATTTTGTATTATCACAAGATGAAGGGATAATATTATATTTCCGCCTCACATCGCAAGATCTCCAGTTCTAATCATAATCATCTATTACTGCATAGTTAGGTACAAAGGGAGTCCCCAAGATGCCCCCCAGGCCGTCCATGAATAGTTCCAAACCGGAGAGAGAGAAAAAAAAAAGTAGGAAAAAAGCCAAAAAGATATTGACCCGGATGGGATTCGAACCCATTCAATTCCACTCGTATTTGAAGTTTCATAGGGTCGCAAACTAACCATACGAGTGGACTGTGCTTCAATTACACCACCGAGCCTTTGTGTTTGTTGGATACTGGACGTGCCGTTTTTTATAATTATATGCTGGTAGCCCGGGCCCCGGGGCACTTACCATATATCTCCCGAGAGATAGCCGCGCAGGTGGTAGCGTGTTTGCCTTGAAATCCGCCCCGGGACCTCTGTACCTAGGAACAAAATCTCTTGTGGACATAGGTACCTAACGTTTAGTCCCCCCCCCCCCCCCTTCCCTCTAAGAGTATGGGTAATATGGGTGGATGATACGGGATCTGGGATAGTCCTTAGATGATTCTTTACTCATAGATAGTTTCTATCCTCTCTAGAAGTACACACCATCTGAGAGCGACGGGAGTCATATCAACTTCGAGGATAGAAGATAATGTACCTTTCAAGTTACCAGCTATATCTTGTCACCCCAAGAAGTGACCAACAGACTGTTCCCACAAGGCAAGCTTGTAAGTCATCTACCTATCCAAATGCAGGGATTTTAATGCTGCTAACGAAGTACACATCGATTGATCGGTATAAGTCATAAAACCCAGAAGCAGAGCTCGAAGCTTCGGTATGATACCTTAGGTTCGGTAGGTCGTGATATAGGCCAAGATTAATTCACAGGAAAGACTATTTCTCATACCAGACGAGGCTAGACTCCAAGCCCGAGCAGATAATCGAAGTTGGTTTAGGTACTTACCTAGTTGTCGCCCCTCCGCGCAAGCTTCGGGCACCAAGAAAAGGTTGGCAGGGCTATATACCATACCGCCCGGGCGGAGGTCGTTTGAGACCCGGCCCCGGGGCGGTGGGTACTGGGCCAGGAATGTTGGTTTGCGCGGTAGTATTCTTAAGAAGATCAAAAAAGGCCCCACTGCTGTCGTATTTTTTTTTTTTGCTAACCTACCTAGCCTCTTCTATTAGCTGCCGGTTTTAACCCCCCGCGATGGCGGCTACTGATGCCATGTACGTCGATCGTCAATCTATGAATGAGATGCGTTATGCAGCTACTAGTACTCTCCGACTGACCTGACACATGGGTCTTCAACCAGGCCTTGTCCGTCTGGGGCTTGATGATGTGTCAGATGCTATATCTGCACGGTGAAGGGCGATTTATACAGATAGTTTATACACTTAACTATGTCTAACGTAGGTCATCACCTGATGAGGGCTATGCTATGTCGCATATGGAAGCTCGGTTCGCTATGCTCGGCTCTTTACGTGTATGGATATGCATCCTTCGTTATGCTGGCCGCGGCCAGGCTACACGTCTGGGCCGCCCGGCGTGACCCGTATAATGCCCTCAGCCAACGCATAAGTGACAATAGTGTTGGTATATTGGTGATATGGGTGGGACCAGCCAGCTTTTTAAGACAATTATAGCCTAGGTGCGCTTCGCCTTGACCTGCCTGATGTGTTATATAGTAGATCTAACGAGTATTCCACGTGTATACTATGTGTCGGGGTATATGATAATTAGGCCCTGGCAAGCCATGTGTTATGTCCACTGTCCCGGGAATCACAACTGAGGCTCGAGCATCTCGCGTTTCGAAGCTCAACAGGTTGTTACGGATATCATGACACTATTGGGTACCGCGGCGCTGGGTCGCTCCTTTATTCCAGTTTTAGTTGGTGTGATGTTTGGCCTAATCTTCACACATGTGCACTAAATACTCTGGAGGTTTGCTTACAAGTACTGTACAATACTTACACATACTCTCTTAGGCATTCGTGATTTCGTTATGTGTTGCTTGTGTAAAAACTAGCGTAGACTGGGATTGGGCTGATCGGCCCAGGCCGCTTATCCTCCCTCACAATGTGGACTGTCTAGGACTTTTTGAAACCACCTAGGGCAGGCAAGGGTTCGAATAGGCGGTAAAGGGGTGGGAATGTGCGAAGCCTTTAACTCGCAAGAGGAAACCGTAACTGTATGCCTTGGGGCTTGGCACGCGCCAGTGCGAATCTTGCTCTGCACAACTTTATCTGTCTTCTTAACTATTAGATCGATCGAACAAATAGTGACGGTTTGTCATTCGAAATATGCGGCTTATAGCAGCTGATGTTTAGTTTCATGTAACTAATAAGTAACTCAGGTACCTAATTAGTTAATTAGTAAACTCTTTTTTTTTTTTTTTTTTTTGCTATTAGTGATGTGTGCGACGAGAGTCAAGGCTACGATTTTGTCAATATTTACGATTTACGTAATGGCGGAGTGTAGGTTAGTCCACGCATGGATTGCTAGTAATATTATAATTTTAGATATGAGGTTTGAGTCCGAGGACTGTCGGCGAAACCTGTGCTTCTGTGAATTACCGCGATGTTGAGAATCGCGAATATCCACCCATCTAAAAACAAAAAGTGTGGTTGTAAACACGAGGTTGACGGGTGAATTCTTCGAGCCTTATGCAGCATTGATCCTTAATGGAATCCATTTTAGTATCCATTTCAGTCCATGTGGGGACTTAAAACCGTAGGTCTACTTCGTAAGTACCTACATTATGGACCATGTATCGATGCGGTACCGTAGCATGCGAAACGACAAGGGTTAAAGGAGCTGGCGTAAAGTGCGGGACAAGCGGATGAAGAGAAAAATGGAGATTGGTAAAATTGGGTTGACCCGACAGACTGGTAACGAACGCTCGGGCGGTGAGACGCGAAGCTAGAGGCCCTTGTCATATGTATGTAAAGGCAGGCATTTCGGGAGTTCTCCTCGGGCGTCCGGACTTAAATAGGAAGCTCGATGTAACCTCGTCCGGTAGTGACGATTATGATTTGCAAGGACCTCGACCTTTTGCATGCCAGGGTATAATATTCTTCGCCCTACTTTATCGCATGTCCCGTAGACCCGTACCTTACCGCGGAAAAGAAGCTGAGAATCCCGGCTGACTGATAAAATCCTTCCCACTGTCACAATAACATTCCAATCACCTGACCAGATTTCTCCGTTCACCTGGTCTCTTCCTCCGCCTGTCTTAGCTTGGCGGTCTTTCCGAGATCCTGAGGATGGAAAAACAGACAATACTGAAAAAACAAAGAAAAAGAAATATGGTAATTGAGGAAGCGGTCAATTTCATAGACTGCCGATATAAGCTCCAGTAGAAGGCCAACTGGGGATTAACCGAAGTATATGTGGCGGTCGCATAGCTATTTGATTCTAATTATGCTGCTTGGACTTTGGGCCAGAAACGCCGACGGGAACGTCGTAGGAATATCCTCGCCAAGAGAAGAGCGCCCGGATGGTCAATCTAATATTCGTAACTGATAAAAAAAAATATTAGGTTTTGTGCACATAGTATTGTGTGCTACTTATGTTGTAATTAATTGCGGCTGATTTCCCGAGAGGTTGTTCTTTGCTCGGTTACTTATAAATTATAGGTATAAGTTATAGAGGTACCTATAAGCCACCAGCATAGCACGCAAAGCCACAGCTTTGCTGGGGTTGCGTTAACGAAGTGTAGGAGACCGTGCGGCGTGCCCTGTTAGAAGATGGAAAGGATGCAATGAATAGGTAAGCATCCAACGTCCTGTAGTATGTCAGTAGAGTACAGCTCCATGTCTGCGCCCTGCGAGATCTACTCTGCTGGTCATCAATGCAGGTCCCAATCAAATAACCAGTTTCTTCTTTGTTGTTATAATATGACGAGCGACTTAGTCATATTACATGCGGCCGGCCGTTGCAAAATTCAGCTCGGTCGCTTGGCGTCCAATAAGATGTTATCGAGACACCTTTAACGCAGACATATGTCGTACATTCGTATTTGAAGGGTTGATGAGTTAGGGTGATCAAAAGAAATACGAAAGTATCTATTTAGCTAGCAAAGTTGCAATGACAGACTTTTGTGCATTGGTATCAAGAGTGTTCTGCTGTTCGTGGTGTAGGTAGTCCGATCTTGAAGTTAAGACGTGTGCGATCTTGGAAGTATACACTGAAGTAACATATATTCTGACGTAAATGCAACAGGGATCAGCATTGTTCTAGCCCAGCAGTAGATTCAGCTGAGTTTTCGGTTCGGTCGTGGCCTTGTCGGCTCAGTACATAGTATATTTGATTCTCGGGTGCAGACACCGGGCCGAGAACAGGGGTCGTGCCGGGTAGTTGTGCATCTAGGCTAACCAGTTGCATTTGTCTTGACGTGAGAACGATCCAATTTTGCCTACAATAGAGGTAAGAGAGATAGCCCAGAAAAAGCTTTGGTGAGCCTGGGCGGTCAGATCACCGACCTGTCGGAAGCGGTTGTGGCATTCCTAGCTCTACAATGCCTTTACTAAAGATTTCTATTCCCGAGACACTTGCCAGCGCAGCTTTGAAGCAGTGGGGAATGCCAAGACATGACTTAATTGCGTTCCGTAGTGTCGGGTTCGTCGCTGAAGTTGTGATTGGCTTCTGTTACAAGGACTCTTCCGCAAATGCCTGATCAAGCCCATATGAAGTCACTCGGCCCAGAGTACTTACTAGACCCAGATACGGTAGCTAGTAGCTGGTGATACGCGGTCTGAGCTAGTTGGTGAGCAGTACGTTGTGGTATAGATGGGTTTTATAATAAATCCTAATAGACCCATTGTACTAGAGGATCCGATATATCTAGGGGTTGGGGTAAGACTCGCGATATGAGTCTGTTGGTTAGAGGAAGTACTGACCCCAGAACAATAAAATGCGGTATTTCTGCACGAATATCGGTGAAGATGGTATTTTTATACGTCGCATCTCGTACTAACGTTAGAAGAAACGAGTTGATGGAACCTAATTAAGAATAGTAACGCAGAATTTGGTCGTCATTCGGCAGATTTATTACATGCCTAGTTGCTTGACTGCGGCGGCAGGAGAATTGAACAAGGGCCAGCGTAGTTGGTGGCTCCTAGATAAAAAGAGAACCGTATTATTAGCAATGTAATATAGTAGGGGCTTGTATATACCGACACTACCATACGACTTTCTCCCATGCAAGACAGGCTTGGATGAGATAGACTAACGTAGTTGCATCTGCAAGTACATGGCACTGCAAGTACTTTCTCGGTACTGTCTTAAACCCCC